ATATGCAGAAGAGACAGAAACAACACAATGATTAAATTTTACTAATGTGGCTTTTCCAAAAAGAGAGAGAGAGATAAATGCCACCTATTTCAGCTTTGAAAAGTTACTCCTTTCCATCTTTCCTCCTTTTCAAGAGCTTTGAATGGATGGATTTTTCTTTTTAGCACTACATAGGAGGAATATGCAAAGCCTGGAAAGCTTTTTTCCTCTCTTTCTTTTTGTGCGTGTATTAATTTGACTGCGGAAAAAATGTATTTGGGAACCAGAAATGAAAGGAATGTGAAAAACAGCTAGGAGGAAAAAAAATGCAAGTTATACTTTTGCAGCCATTTGATAATGTTGAAAAAGAAAAAAGAAACTAAATTGTGTTGCTGCCTGTTGCTTTCATTAATGTGGCTATTATTAAAGTGCTTATTAAAAATGATTTTGCAATATTTAGTCCATTGCTGGATGTATTATTATTATTATTATTATTATTATTATTATTATTATTAATAATAATAATAATACTTTATTTATATTCCACCCTACCTCCACAGCAAATAGTTAAAATGTGAGAGGAGTGACTATTTTGAATGCTAGTCCTTGTTGTAGGTAATATATCTGTTTCACTAAGAGTGCATCTACACTGGAGACTTAATGCACTTTGACTCCACTTTAGCTCACTGCTGTGGAATCCTGAGCATTGTAGTTTTTCAAGATCTTGGTCCTTCTCTGACATGGAATTCTGGTGCATCTCCAACTACAGCTCCCAGGATGCCATAGCATTGAGCCGGGGCAGTTAAAGTGGTATAAAACTGCATTAATTCCTTAACGTAGATGCACCCTGAGATTCCTTTGGTGGTGTTCACTGACTCAGAGGCTGCTGTTCTCAGTGGGAGGAAATTCCCACTTGATCCAAATAGGAATTTTGCCCAAATGCGGAATTGCAGGATGGGATGGGAGAGTCTGTTTCCTGGCAGCTAAGGAAAAAGGGGGGCTTTTCATTTTCCCCCCTTCTCTCTTCTTTTTTTGGATCGTTGATAAATTTGGACTTCCATTCAAGCCGGAAATGAGTTTAGGGTCTTAATGCTTTTTTTTTGGGGGGGGGGGGGGGTTCAGTTCCACTTCTGCTTTAAGGAAATGGCACAATTGAGCCACTTTTGGACAGCGAACAGGCATTTTTTGAACCTTTATCTATCTTCTCCTTGTAAAAGTAATCTTCCAAAATCTTTGGAGGCCACAGCAAGGAAACTGCACTGAGCATTCACTCTGTTTGGCTCAGGACGTATGGGATTTGTAGTCTTCATAAGCTAGAATAGAATGCTACAAATGTGAACCATGCGCTATGTTCTGTAATGCACGCAACCAGAGGGGTGTGGGCCTGCATTTGTTTCTCCTACAGCATTATTTGCATGGCAACCTGGTTTTTGTTTTGAAATGGGAGGCCTTTGCAAAGTGCTTTCTGGAAATAAAGGAGATGCATAGAGAAATAGTACACCATGCCTGAACTGGGCTTGGAAAGAGAGGCGGCCCTAGGTAATTTTCAACGGTAAGCAAATAGTATTTTGCCCCCCCCCCCCAACCAATCATTGATATATATTTTCTGTTTGTCGTGGGAGTTCTGTGTGCCATATTTGGTTCAATTCCATCATTGGTGGAGTTCAGAATGCTCTTTGATTGTAGGTGAACTATACATCCCAGTAACTACACTTGCCGCACTTGCTCCCTTGCCTGGCCCGCTTTGGGTCCGGAGCGTGCCTGAAGACCCCGGCGTGTGCACCAAAAGTCACCTCTTCTCCTGACTTTCTCCTCAGCCATTGGGACCAAGAGAGAGAGAGAGAGAGAGACAGAGACAGAGACAGAGGTGGAGATGCCCACCTTTCCTGAAGGTAGGCGCAAAAACAAAGGAGGGAGCGGAGGTGGGAGATACCTCCAGCCGGAGGGGCTCTCTCTCTCTCTCTCTCTTGGTCCCAATGGCTGAAGAGAAAGTCAGGAGAAGAGGCGACTTTTGGTGCACACGCTGGGGTCTTCAGACACGCCTCCGGACCCGAAGCGGGCCAGACGCGGTGGCTCCGCCCCTTGGCCCACCCGTGGGGGAGGAGAGGAGGCGGGTGGAGCGCTGGGGGATCGGGAAAGGGAGCCGGTCATGGGGAAGGGATCGAACGCGGAGAACGATTGAGCGCCGGCTCTGCTCGTGCACCCGGTGGCCGGGTGGAGCAGGAACGAGAGGGGCTAGGCAAGGCTCAAGGGCCCGGCCCCTTTGGGAAGAGGATCGCCCGGCAGCGAGGCAAGAAAGCCGAGGCTCCCCCCAGACTGCTAGGGCTGTTGTGAGCTGAGGGGGTGCTCCTCAAGTGGCGATCGAGGGGCATTTACAGAGGCGCCTCTGCACCCCTGGCAAAAAAAGTGTTTTGCGACCGCTTACTTCGCGTAATGGACGAGCCGCCCCTGTTTAGAAATGTGAGGTTTTTGAACTGTACATCCCCAAATCCCCCAATCAGAGGGCTAGAATGCATGCTGGTTAAGAGATGTGGGAAACTGTAGTCAACAAAACCCTAAACTAGGATGGTATCATGGTTTGAGCATCAGACTATGGCTCTGGAGAATTACTGCTCCAACATGGAGCCTTATTGAGTGACTTTGGGCAAGTCACACTTTCTCAGCCTCAGAGGAAGGCACTGGCAAAGCCCTCTCTGAACACACTTTGCTGAAAAACCCCATGGCAGTTCCATCTTGGCCTTAGTACAAGTCATAAATGACTTGAAGGCACACAACAACACCAACAAAATATAAAAGGCAATCTTACCAAGCTTGGCCTTTGCAATGGAGGGAATGCTCCCAAACAGTGGAAGTCCATATCCCATTATAAACAATGGATATCCTTTATATAAAATGAGAAAATCAAACATTGTTTTTGGGATTCCCAACAAATCTTCTCAATGTATTGTTGAAGGCTTTCATGGCTGGAATCACTGGGTTGTTGTGCAATAGATCCAGCCATAGACATCTCCCAAGAGAACAACAACAACAACAACAACAGTAATAACAGCTAGCAGAGTGTCTGCTGTGGACTCATCTTGTGTTTCAAACAACAACAACAACAACAACAACAATATGCCACGATTGGAAATTCAAGGTGACCTTTGGAAATCATTGGGAATAAACCAGTCCCATTTGTCCCCCCTCACAAATATAAACAAAGGATAAGGACACTACGTTGAAGGCTTTCATGGCCGGAATCACTGGGTTGCTGTGTGTTTTCCGAGCTGCCTGGCCATGTTCCAGAAGCATTCTCTCCTGACATTTTGCCTGCATCTATGGCAGGCATCCTCAGAGGTGGTGAGGTCAGGAGAGAATGCTTCTGGAACATGGTCATATAGCCAAAAAAAACCCTACAACAACCCAAATCTTCTTAAGCTGAGGATTGTTTGTGTGGATACAGAGGGCCATCTGTAGTAATTTATGTAACTTTGATTTGGGAAACTCTCCTCCAGGGATTATAGTTTACTGTAGGCCCAGGAAATGTATTTTGTTCTTTGCATGGGGTTGAAAACATAGAAAATTGTGAAGTATCTGTTAATTAGTAGTATGTGAACCAAGAGCTGGCATCACTATAATAACCGGCAGTTGTATATGACTGTTCTTTGGATCATTTGAAGTTTCTGTGCTAGTTTGCGTCTACACTGGAGAATAAATGCAGTTTGAACTGCCATGGTGCAATGCTATGAAGTCCCAGGAGTAGTAGTTTTACAAAGTCTTTTACCTTCTCTGCCCTAGAGGGCTGGTGCCTACTAAACTACAACTCCCGGGATTACAAAGCACACGGGCTGCATTTTTGTCTGGATTTTTTTTCTTACATTATACATACATCATGAACTTTCTTGGAGATGGACCCAAATCTAAGCATGAAATTTATTGATTTTTCATGTATATTATAGACACACAATCTGAAATAAGCCTTATACAATAGGGGACGTGCTAAAGGTCTCCTGACATAGGGGAAACCATAGCTAAATCAACCTTCATTTCCAAAATAGTAATTAAAATATTTGCAAAATATTTTCTATGAGCTGTATATCTGAGAGTATAAAATATCAATATCTATATCAATCTGAATCTATCTATCTATCTATAATATCAGTTTGTTATTTTTTTCTGTGGGACTTTTGGGACTCTCTGTATTATTATCATCATAATCAATAATGTACTACTACTAATAACAATAACAACAACGATAATGATACATTTATTTGTTTCCTGCTTCTCCTTGTGGCTCAAGGTGGGGTACAACACAGTTGAGACAGACAGATAAAATGCAAGACTATTATGGTGTTATTGTTTTCAGTGTTTTATTGTTTGCTTGATGTTTATTAATTGCTTTATGAGTTTTACTGTTGTATTTGTATGCTGTTGTTTTGTTGGGGGCCTTGGCCTTTGTAAGCCGCACCGAGTCCTTCGGGAGATTTTGCGGGGTATAAATAAAGTTAGTAGTAGTAGTAGTAATAATAATAATAATAATAATAATAATAATAATAATAATATGCATATAACAAAATAAACACAAGACCAACACCAATAGCTTTGTGCATGAATCAAAGTGTGTGAATGGCAAGAAGTTCTATTTGCATTGAACTCCAGCCTGATGTAGACCTCCTCCTCCTCTCCTCTTCCTCTTCTCTTTCTCCTTATCCTCTTCTTCTCTCTTTTCCTTCTCTTTCTCCTATTTTCCTCTCCCCTGTTCTCCTTCTCCTCTTCTCCTTCTCCTCCGCCTGCTCTTCTCTTCTTTCTCCTCTTCTCCTTCTCCTTCTCCTCTTCTCCTCTCCCCTCTTCTCCTTCTCCTCTTCTCTTTCTCCATCTCCTCCTTCTCCTCTTCCCCTTCTCCTCTTCTCCTTCTCCTCCGCCTGCTCTTCTCTTCTTTCTCCTCTTCTCCTTCTCCTAATCTCCAGCTCCCTCCTCCTCCTCCTCTTCCTCCTCCTCCACTTCCTCCCCATACTGACCTCTGCTTTCTGCTTTTCCTCCAGGCATCCGGTACCATTCCCAATCACCCAGCATGTGTGACCGGAAAGAGTTTGTCTTCTCCATCAACGCCATGGCCTCCTCTTCCATGCATTCTGGAGGCAGCGGCTCCTATTACCACCAGCAAGTGACATATCAAGACATCAAGCCTTGCGTGATGTGACGGCAGGATTGGGAGCAGCCAAGTCTCCAATGACCAAAGAGAAGACCATGCAAGACTGGGGGACTTCTTGCAACTTTCTTGGAAGGACCTCCAAAGAGGAGAGAGATTGAGGTATATAAATATTTGAGGTGTTTACGGAAAGGAACGTTGTGGACAAAGTCACTAGAGGACCAAGGACGGATGGTGCAGGCCGGAATGCTAAAGTTCTCCTCTATTCTTAAGCATGGACCTCCGTATCCATCCAGAATTGTGATCTGGTGATACTTCCAAGAACTATTTCGGGGTGTTTCCTTACTTTCCAGAGGCATCCAACTCAATGTGTATATATTTTTTTGCAATTTTAAATACTCCTTGAACAAACCAACTCAATGGATTTTAGATCTGAGAGACAAAGATTTGCTGAAGAAAGAAGGAACAAACAAGTCACCCTGGGTTTCAAGAAATGTCATTCAAAGACATTGGTTTCGGGGGGGTATCCTGTCATGTTTGGGAGTGAACAAAAACTATGCATATATTTTACCTCTGGTTCAGGGCAATGAAGGAATCTCTCCCAATATTTTGTTCTCCAAATTGCCATTGGGTTGAAAAGTGGAATGAAACACACCAAACACATATAGGACGTGGGACCAATATATTGAGTAGCAAAGTCCTTCCATGAAGTTTCCTCCACCCCGCTTTCCAATTTGACTCTATTGTGTCTTAACTATAAATAGTAAAGTACCAAAATGACAAAGAGAAGCACTTTGAGAAAGAAAGGTGACGCTAAAAGACTAACAAGGCTCACGCTCTTATTTATTCAAACTTTCTTAATAAAACCCAACAGCAGCCTTGGTCAAAGAAGTCAGTATTAAAGCAGTGGGCGTGTCGGCATTGCAAAGGTCCGACGGGGAGGCAAAGCAGTTTCCCCTATGTTTGATATATATAATGATGATACATATAAATATATAAATACTATAAATATGATAAATGAAGGATGTTTCTTTCCCTTCCCCAACTTCTCTTCCCCGCTCCCTCCCTCTTTCGACCTGACTGTACAGTTTGTCCAACACTCCTCTTTTAAAACTCCCTTCTGCACTGTATACAAAGTGTAATGATAGCCAAAGAGGTCTAGGCTCCCTGTTGTTGTGTACGTTTGCCCTCTTTTTCGTTTTTGTTTTTACAAAAAAATGGAATGCAATTTTATTAAAAATGTACACGACCTTCACAAATTGTATAAACTGTCAATAAACCAGTGTGTGGCATAGTAATCTGCGCAGTCTGTAGAAGAAGGGCCAAAACTAACAAAATGAAGTTTAACAGGGACAAATGCAAGTTACTCCACTTTGGCAGGAAAAATGAAATGCAAAGATACAGAATGGGGGACAATGCCTGGCTCGAGAGCAGTACGTGTGAAAAAGATCTTGGAGTCCTCGTGGACAACAAGTTAAACATGAGCCAACAATGTGATGTGGCAGCAAAAAATGCCAATGGGATTTTGGCCTGCATCAATAGGAGCATAGTGGCCATCCAGTCCAACCCTCTGCCAAGAAGCAGGAATTTTGCATTCAAATTACCCCTGACAGATGACCATCCAGCCTATGTTTAAAAGCTTCCAAAGAAGGAGCCTCCACCACACTCCAGGGCAGAGAGTTCCACTGCTGAACGGCTCTCACAGTCAGGAAATTCTTCCTCATGTTCAGATGGAATCTCCTCTCTTGTAGTTTGAAGCCATTGTTCCGCATCCTAGTCTCCAAGGAAGCAGAAAACAAGCTTGCGCCCTCCTCCCTGTGGCTTCCTCTCACATATTTATACATGGCTATCATATCTCCTCTCAGCCTTCTCTTCTTCAGTCTAAACATGCCCAGCTCCTTAAGCCGCTCCTCATAGGGCTTGTTCTCCAGACCCTTTATCATTTTAGTTGCCCTCCTCTGGACACAGTCCAGCTTGTCAATATCTCTCTTGAATTGTGGTGCCCAGAATTGGACACAATATTCCAGGTGTGGTCTAACCAAAGCGGAATAGAGGGGTAGCATTACTTCCCTAGATCTAGACACTATGATAGTGTAGATCTAGCCACAGTCAGTGTTCTTGGTCTCCAACTGTCTAATAGATAAATAGAAATAGATGGTAGAGATGTAAGATTGATGATAGCTAGCTAGATAGCTAGATAGGAATTGTACACACCTTGCTGCTTTGAATATGAACTTTGGGACACCTAATGACCCCACCTGCTGGGTTTTGGAGGAGAAAGACAACAAAGAAGGTATCAAAAATTGCCACCTGCTATCAGGTTTCCAAGTGCTTTGGCAGGACTCCCCACTGGGAAACCATCCATTTCCCTTTCATAATGGACCCAAAGGTCACAGGAAACCACACATTGTCACTTCTGCTTATGAGGATGCTGGGAAGTTCTCTGGATCTCCGAAGGAACCCCAAATTCTGGCTTGTTTGTCAACATCTCAACGATGTCAACATCTCAATGAGACTGTCACTTTCCATAATGCACTCTATGGCCATGCCAAAAGGCATCAGTTCAGGGAGATATGTATTTCTGATACTGGCAAAAAGGGAGTTCTTTCATTCTACACAACCACAACAGTAGAATTTAGTCATCACAGATGCGTCTGACGAAATCCTAAGATCTGTAGCCTGGCGAGGCATTAGAGTTCTCTGGTTGAGAACTAAACTGTCAATCTCAGGAATCTGTTGGATGTCGTGATAGTGGAATCACAGCGTTACTATTTTGTAGTATGAAAAGGCTCTTAGAAGCAAACCTGGCTGAAAGATCAGGTCTCCAAACTTCAGGTAATCTTTGTTCAGTCCCTTCCAGTTTGGAGTGACTCAGAAGTCATCCTGGGATGCCAACTATTTTCCAAGCCACTGAGCTCAGTCTAAACAATTCCCCAGCTTCCCTGCTTTCCTTTCCATGCAGCTTGGGACTATAAGCACATTCATATTCACCTCCCATCAAGCTGGCTCTTGAAGAACAGTTTTTGAAAAATACTTGATCTTGCAGAATGTGAATTTGGGATGATTTTTTTTTTTGAGCTATAGCTCATAGAGTCCCCATTAGTTGTGTTAGCTGGGAAAACCTGGGAGCTGCAGCCTTTCAAAAAGTAGCATTGGCGTTGCATCACACTGATCTTATACAATGCCAAATAATACAGTTTGACACTGCATTATTAGTTCAGTAGACTTGTATAAGGCAATTCAATGCAGTTAAAGTGTATTACATATTATTTATTTGTTTACTATTTTTATACCCCGTCCTCTCTCACCCTGAAGGGGACTCAGAGTGGCTTACAAGATATATGTATATACAATATATTATATTATTAGCATAGCACAATATTAGCATTATAAATTACTATATTGTACTATACCACTATAATGCAATATTATTATATTACATGTAATATATAATATACTAGCCGTCCCCTGCCACGCATTGCTATGGCCCACATGGGGGTTCTGTGTGGGAGCTTTGGCCCAATTCTATCATTGGTGGGGTTCAGAATGCTCTGTGATTGTAGGTGAACTATAAATCCCAGCAAGTACAACTCCCAAATGTCAAGATTCCATTTTCCCCAAACTCCACCAGTGTTCACATTTGGGCTTATTGAGTATTTGTGTAGAGTTTGGTCCAGATCAGAGGTGGCCCTAGGCAATTTTCAATGGTAAGCAAACAGTATTTTGGCACCCCCCCCCCCCCACCAATCACTGATATATATTTTCTGTTTGTCATGGGAGTTCTGTGTGCCATATTTGGTTCAATTCCATCATTGGTGGAGTTCAGAATGCTCTTTGATTGTAGATGAACTATACATCCCAGTAACTACAACTCGCATATGTCAAGGTCTATTTTCCCCCAAGAGCGGCTCAAGAGCGGCCCTGGGCACAATCAGCTATACTGCAAATGCTTACTTTGCGTAATGGGTTGAGCCGCCCCTGGTCCAGATCCATCATTGTTTGAGTCCACATTCATCTCTGGATGTAGGTGAACTACAACTCCAAAGCCAAAGGACACTGGCCACTAAACCCTTCCAGTATTTTCTGTTGGTCATGGGAGAACTGTGTGCCAAGTTTGGTTAAATTCCATCATTGGTGGGGTTCAGAATGTTCTTTGATTGTAGGTGTACTATAAATCCCAGCAACTACAACTCCCAAATGACAAAATCAATTTTTTTTTAGTGAAAGACATACATTGGGTTGTTAGGTGTCTTGTGTCCAAATTTTGGTGTCAATTCTTCCAGTGGTTTTTGAGTTCTGTTAATCCCACAAACGAACATTACATTTTTATTTACCGTATATACTCAAGTATAAGCCAACCCTAATATAAGCCGAGGCACCTAATTTTACCACAAAAAAACTGAGAAAATGGATTGACTTGAGTATAAGCAGAGGGTGAGAAATGTAGCAGCTCCTGGTAAATTGCAAAATAAAAATAGATACCAATTAAATTACATTAATTAAGGAATCAGTAGGTTATATGTTTTTGAATACTTACAAAAATGGTAATTTAAGATAAGACTGTACAACTTTGATTAAATAATTATTTACCTTCTTCAATGTAAATTTGCTTACGTATCTTTCCAATAATAATAAAGAGAGCAACATAACAAATGCAATAATAACAATAATAAAAAGAGTAAAATAATAAATGTATAATAATAAAGTAAAATGATAAATGTAATAATAATAAATAGAATAAAATAAAATAATAATAATAATAATAATAATAATAATAACAGAAGTAAAATAATAAATAACCTTGACTCGAGTATAAGCCGGGGGGGACTTTTTCAGCCTAAAAAAGGGCTGAAAAACTAGGCTTATGCTCGAGTATATACAGTATATAGATTATTACTATATTGCATTACATTATAATATTATTTCAATAATATTAATAATATTAATACGTATATGACCATATCATGCACTTTCAAGTTGTATGATATGGCAGTGTAGGTGGGGTTGTAGTGCTTGACAAGGAGGGCACAAAATTATGATTATTCTCCTATCATGTCTCAATAGTGTCCAAATAGTGAATACAAAAAATTACGGAATAGAGTTTGGCACTGTTTTAAATGCAATGGCGTAAGGTTACGGAATCATAGGAGCTGTCATTTTATAGGACGCTTAGCCTTCTCCGCACAAGAGCCTCACCAAACAACAGTGCCCCGGATTCCATAACATTGAGCTTTAGCAGTGAAAGTGATGTCAACATGCATTACTTTGACAGTGTAGATGCCCCCTTAGTTAAGCTGCCAAAAAGAGGAATGCTAGTCTATGAAAGAGTGGGAAGGAATGGCCCACCCAGCTTGCCTCTGAAACCTCTGTAGCCTCCCAACAGGCCTGGCCATTTCTCCACTTCTATTCTTATCGCTGCGTAAGAATTTGCATCTCTCCTGGGAAGCAGGTTCTGGAGTGCATCTGCTTAGTGTATGGGTTTGAAGAGGCAAATGACAGCAGCCACCCTCTTCTCTTGCAGCCGAGGGCCACAGAGGGGATATTTATCTTTCAAAGGCATGGGCAGCTGGAGAGCCTCCACTCCAAACCATCTCAGCCTTTTCACTACATCTTACACGGACCAGCGACTTGGGGGCAGGGCGGGCAATGTGCATCCCTTCCTATTACGCCTTCCCCTATTGCAGTGTTTCTCAACCTGGGGGTCGGGACCCCTGAGGGGGTCACGAGGGGGTGTCAGAGGGGTCGCCAGAGACCATCAGAAAACAGTATTTTCTTTTGGTCGTGGAGGTCCTGTGTGGGAAGTTTGGCCCAATTCTATCATTGGTGGGGTTCAGAATGCTCTTTGATTGTAGGTGAACTATAAATCCCAGCAAATACAACTCCCAAATGTCAAGGTCTATTTCCCCCAAACTCCACCAGTGTTCACATTTGAGCATATTGAGTATCCGTGACAAGTTTGGTCCAGATCCCTCATTGTTTGAGTCCATAGTGTTCTCTGGTTATAGGTGAACTACAACTCCCAAACTCAAGGTCAATACCCACCAAACCCTTCCAGTATTTTCTGTGTCCCATGTTTGGTTCAATTCCATTGTTGACGGGGTTCAATATGCTCTTTGATTGTAGGTGAACTACAAATCCCAGCAGCTACAACTCCCAAGTGACAAAATCAATCCCCCCCCTCCAACCCCACCAGTATTCAAATTTAGATGTATCGAGTATTTGTGCCAAATTTAGTCCAGTGAATGAAAATATATCCTGCGTATCAGAAATTTACATTGCCATACATAACAGTAGCAAA